CGCTACAGCCAGGCAGGATGGGGTGGATATTGTGCCTGGCATGGTTTCACTTTCTTCACTGTGTCATGGGTGTAGTGGTTTGAGTCATGGATGGATCAGAGGCCAGAAACTATTGACCATGTCTTCAATTATCCTCTTCACCTCCAACTGCAAATAACAGAAAGATATGTCCGCTGTTAACTTCCCCTCCTTCGTTCCTACGCTTTGATGGACTTCCACAAAAAATATCATTTCTTTGTATCTTTTCGGCCTTGCAACGTGCTGGACCGCTACGAACAAATGCCATAAGTCATTCACACATGTTCAAACTGTTTGTGCTCTTTCCTGAATCCATACATCCTAAAGACAACTCCCTCCTCCAACTCTGACCCATTGATCCACTTTCCCTACTCCGTTCTTGACACAAGGTAAGCTGTGCTGGTCGCCTTGTTTTTGTGGCCGCAGGACCCTGTGTAAGGGAGATGGACACATGCCTGACAGGAGCATCAACATGCACAGATGCAAACGCATTGCAACATACCGTGCCTTAGCTCGCTCTTTCTTGTTTCAGATTCAACAAATACTACTATATTATTGTCAGCTGCTAAGTTTGTTTTTCCTCTTCTTTTGTCTTCTATACTTCTGCTCTCTTGTGAAGAAATTCTTTCACCTGGCTTTGAGCAGAGCGAAAACTGGGAATCTTCCAGATACTGTGATGGACAACGTGCTGGCATGTACATGATCCCAACCACAGAGAACTGCAGGTATATATTAATTGCTCTTTGTTTTCTGAACTTTTTCCCTTGTACCTCTCTCTACTCTGTCACTGTCCACCTTTCTGTTTGTATAAGAGACAGGAGAGAGAGAGGGAGGGAGGGAGAAGAAGCAACGGCCATTTCTCCTGCTGCACTGCTCGGCAGACATGTAGGGTTCAAGGACGCTTGGCCATGTATCTACCCTTCTCTCAGGGGAAGATTCAGTGACAGAGAGAGAGGGAGCAACGACCATTTCTCCTGCTGCACTGCTAGGATGCGTGGGGTTCAAGGAGGACCCGTCTGCCGATCAGTGCAGCAGGAGAAATGGTCGTTGCTCCCTCCCTCCCTCTCTCTCTCTCTCTCTCTCTCTCTCTCTCACCCCATCGCGCGCGCGGCCACCTGGCCGCCTCATTGCACATACTCTTGAGTGGCGGCCACGTAATCAGCAAAAAAGAAAAGGCCATGCCCTCGCACCCTTTTTTTCGCTTCACCAACTGCAAAAAATGCCTGCATA